TGGAAAGGAAAGCTTTTCAAAGTCAGTATGAAACAAAATTATTGTCCTTTCTATCTTCTTGAAAATATACCCAGTTTTGATTATTTGCTCATATAAAAGAAAGCACTGTTAATATATTTGATTTGTGGCTCCACAAAGATTATCTGAAAAGAATGTTCAAATTATGGCTAAGTGTTCCCACCCATCACATGAAAGTTTAACTCCAGTTTAATCTAAATGACTGAATTTAGGGAAAAGTCAAGTGATTCAAAACATTTTAAATAAAATATTAAGTCTGCTAATTCAGTTTCAGTTCTGTTACATTAGTATAGGCTCACCTTCTTGAAACTTACTGTACTATAGGAACGAACAGATAGACCTTACCAGTGTTCAAATCCCAGGGACTGCTTTGATGGCCATGTAAGTATTCTCTATTTATGTACAACTTGTTTAATAGTCTGGAAACATTGATCACTGATTCAAACACTTATATCCATACTGAAAGTTCCATTCACAAAATATTCTTCTGCTCTTAAAAGAATTTTGCTGCCACAATGTAGATGAATAGAATTTTTTTGGACCAAAGATTATAGCAGAGTTTCTGTGCATTTAATGCTTAATTTTCAAGACACAACGTACAGGGAAATTGAAATACTCTAATTATTTAACATCGAGGAAGAAACCAATTGAATTTCAATTTGTCCTAGAAGCCCTCTCAAAATGTGAAGCCTTTTACAAAAATGTACAATAAATGTACCTTTTCTAGGTCTACACAAACCAAAATATTTAATAATTTAGATGTTAAGTCTATATGCTGCTAGACTTGAAGGTACTTAAAACACATTTAAATGTTTAATGGCAGGCAGAGTGGCCAGATGATGGGCTGAATTTTTTACTTTTATATGAATGTTCTAGCAATATGTGAATAAAAAGCTTTATTTAAAATATTTTTAATTAAGGTTTTCGACATTTTTTTTTATCGGATGAAGTGCTTTGTAATAATAACTTACATTTACTCTCTATTTCTTCTGAAGAAATAACTTTACATATAGGTTAGGAGGCACGTTGAGAGTTTGGAAGAAGATACAATGCTACCTTTTTCTCTTGGCAGTTTTTAATACTTCTTTCTATTTCTGTGTACAGCTCACACCAGGGGGCACTTTCCCACTCATCTCTTCACATCCTCCATATTTTACTCCCTACTCTCTACACAATTGCAAAGGCCCACCGATAGAAACTGTGCTGAAGGTTGAAGAGGTATGCTCTAGAGCTGGTTTTGGAGGTACAATTGTTTCAGTTCTCTTTTGTTTTCCATTACAAGATCTTAATCTTGAGAATGATGTGACAATAACTCTGGCATGGGTACCATATAGCTTTCCTGAATATTTTAGGGCATACACGTGGTCTCTGTTCTAGTTATGCATAAAAAAACATACCCCTCTTGCCTTCTATCAATGAACTCAACTCAAGAGAGATAATTAGTTCTGAATACCGCTCATTCCAAATTTCAAATTCATAAACTGCTCCATACACTAATGGCTCAAATTAAAATATAAGAAAAACAGGTGTTGCTGAGGATGTAGAGAAAAAGGAACCCTTGTGCACTGTTGGTGGAAATGCAGACTGGTGCAGCCACTCTGGAAAACAGTATGGAGGTTCCTCAAAAAGTTAAAAATAGAACTACCCTGTGATCCAGCAATTGCACTACTGGATATTTATCCCTAAGGTACAAAAACATGAATTCAGAGGGATACATGTACCCCGATGTTTACAGCAACATTATTTACAACAGCCAAATTGTGGAAGCAGCCCAAGTGTCCACTGATGGATGAATGGATAAAGAAGTGGTATATATACATAATGGAATATTATTCAGCTATAAAAGATGAAATCTTGCCATTTGCACCAACACGGATGGAGCTACAGAGTATAACGCTAAGCAAAATAAGTCAGTCAGTGAAAAGCAAATACTATATGATTTCACTCATATGTGGAATTTAAGAACAAAACAAAGCAAAAAAGGAGAGAGTGACAAACCAAGAAACAGACTCTTAAGCATAGAGGACAAACTGATGGTTACCAGAGAGGAGCTGGGTGGGGGGGATGGGTGAAATAGGTGATGGGGAGTAAGGAGTGCACTTGTGATGGGCACTGGCTGATGTATGGAATCGTTGAATTACTATATTGTACACCTGAAACTAAAAGGAACACTGTATGTTAACTATATTGGAATCAAAAAACTTAATAACAAAAGGGTTTATTTATGTGTAGACAAAAAATAAAATAAAATACTCTTACACTACACTCGGAAGATGTTTAGTATTACCTACATCTTTCATCTATTTCAAAATTAAACTGCTATTTTCAGTTTAGGTTCAGTAACAGTAGTTACTATGGCATCAAAAGCTGACTATCAGATGTCTTAAAAGATTTTAAAGTAAAAGATTTTAAAATTTGTTTCTGATAGGCTTTAACAATGGTTTAATAATACAGATATTTTACAAATTAAACATACAAAGTATCTGCTTTTACAGAGAATGCCATTTTTTTCTAACAGGCTCCTTTTTTTTTTGTTTTGTTTTTTGTTTTTGTTTTTTAAACTAACAGACTCTTTAAAAGCAACCTATAGAATGCTGAATACAGTATAATGTGGATCTTGTATAAATAAACCTTTGTCAACTCAGTATCACTACTAATATCAATTTAGCCTAACTCTGTTACAAACTGTCTCTATATGTTTCTATTTTCAAATGGGATGAATTCAAATAGGATGGGTTGGTGAAAAAGTCTAAAGTGTATGAAGTGAAGTTTTAATAATTTCAAGTTCAAATTATAAAGCATGACATTTTAGGTATTTCTAAAAATCTCTTCTATTAGAGTGTAAAGACAATATGTCATTTAAAAAAAATTTAATGTTTGCTTATTTTTGAGAGAGTGAGACACAGCACAAGTGGGGGAGGGGCAGAGGGAGAGGGAGACCCAGGCTCCAAAGCAGGCTCCAGGCTCCAAGCTGTCAGCATAGAGCCCAACCAGGGGCTCGAACCCACGGACTGCGAGATCATGACCTTGCGAAGTCAGCGCTTAACTGACTGAGCCACCCAGGCGCCCAAGACAATATCTTATTTTAAGCATAAAGATAACACAACAAGTTAAGTTTAAGTCCTTAGGCACTAAAATCCTTAGGTGATCTCTCTTGTTCATTAAAGAAATCCCCTATAGTACCAGTCAACTATAATTTTTTTCTAGCATGTTCTTTCCTATAGTTACTTTTATTGTATAAAGTTATGTTGAAACTTTTATCTTAGGCATAATAGTTTAATATGAAATCCTCATCTATTTATTTAATATGTTTTAGTCTTACTAAGTTATATCAATTCCTGGACTACCTGTACAACAAGTTTTAAAAGCTTTGCACATTTTATTTTTATCAGGATTAAGTATTTTCTCTGTCTAATCCATCAAGAACATGAATGGTATTAAATGTTATAAACTATGGTAAATTTTAAAACAGATGGCTCACTTATTATACTCAAGTAAATGAAAATTATCATAATAAAAACACAAGTAATTGTAAGAACAAAAGTGGTTAATAACAAAAATATATAGATAGGGGTTCATTAATGGTATTTTCTGAGTGTATATAGTTTATTCAATTCTGAGTTGATCAATTACACTTCAATTTGTTGGAGCACTTAAAAATGGTACAAAATAGTCCTATTTATATTTCTTGGTAGACAGCAAACTAAAATAGTAGTATTTTTATTAAATTATAAAAATATTTTGATATTTTCTATTTAATATAGATTTTTTTTTAAGGAAAAATTAAGGTACAGTTCTACTGTAGTGCAATAGTTGATATATTTGATATGAGATGGTTTTTTTTAAACTTTATTTGCAACCCATTGGAGGACTGGTAATTTCAATTTACATATTGTAGCAGTATTTATTTTTTTGTTTTGTTTTAGACTGAAGAGAATAAAACAGTAAAAAAATTGAGAATGTCATATGATGAGATTATTAATAAGACATTTGTTTCTGTTAAATACACAAATATGTGCATGTATATATATACAAACACTATACATATGTGTATATATATATCATGCATATATGTATATTTATATAGCATATATGAGTGTATGTACACATACACAAATTGTACATAAAAATATATGTCTGAGTACACAGTTACAATCGTGTGTTTTGCCACCTTGTATCTTGGTCACCAAAATTTTGAAAGACTTTGAAACTGATAAAGAAACTGATTTTACTCTTGTTTCAGGCTGTGTAAGATTGATGTTGAGTAATAATCCTTCGTATAGAGTCTTTTTTTTTTTCAATGTTTATTCAGTTTTGAGAGCGAGGGCGCCAGCGGGGTAGGAGTAGAGAAGAGGGGCAGAGGATCTGAAGCAGGCTCCGCGCTGGCAGTAGCTAGCCTGACATGGGGCTCGAACTCACGAACTGTGAGATCATGAGCTGAGCTGATGTCAGGTGCTCGACCGACTGAACCACCCAGATGCCCCTAGAGTCTTTTAATCTATTAAAAAGAAGTTTAAGGGTCTAAAATATATCAAGTGGGTGAAATATTGGGTTGAGTAAGTGTCACCTACATGACACTGAAGGATAAAGCAGAACATAGTATTTTTGACTTACGACATGCTGAATTTTATTTATTTATTTATTTATTTATTTATTTATTTATTTACTTACTTATTTATTTATTTTTAAGTTTATTTATTTTGAGAGAGAGAGAATGACCAGGGGAGGGGCAGAGAGAGAGGGAGAGAGAGAATCCCAAGCAGGCTCCACACCGTCAGTGCAGAGCCCGATGTGGGGCTCAAACCCATGAGCCTTGAGATCATGACCTGAGCCTTAAACAAGAGTCGGCCACTCAACCGACTGAGCCACCCAGGTACCCCGACATGCTGAATTTTAAATGCTAGTGAAAAAAAATGAATTTTCAACCACAAAGAGTCCCATCATATCCAGGGAAGTGTTGTGTAGGAGGTATTGGTACTGACCATATTCTACTGCAGCTTTGAGCAGTGCTTCAGCATGAGTGGAGCCAAACGCATTACGAACAAATCGTCTCCTTCGACGAAGATCATCTTCCCAGTAATCCAAACGCCAGAAATCATGCAATTGGCTAGGAATGAGGAAATAAACAGTAGGCACTATTAACAACAATGCATAACTGGAAATATATTTTTTTTACATAACATTAAGGCTTTATTTCTTTGGTCTCAATGGAAAATTAAGATGATTTTTGAGATATTTATGTTTTACGATTGTGTTTACATACGCATTTCCTGTCCAAATGACCAAAACTTAAAAGAGTAACATTCTCATATTTTAAGCATTGTAATACTCAGCTCTGTTTTCTCTACAATGTTCTTCTTTCTACTGAAAACATTAATCATGGGGAGTTCAGTAACAAATGCAGCATCAAATTACAAGTATTAATGGCACAGTTTTCCTTCTTTTACACTGTCTTTAACAAGGCTTGTAAATCACAGGATAGACCTCACTACAAATAGTTTGCAATTTAATGACCATGGTTTCTTAGTAGACTGAATTAAGAACCATAAAATATTGCCTGCTTGGATTTGGTGGAACAATGATTAAAATAATGTGCTGAAATATTCATTGAAATAATTCCCTGCTGCCCACAGCAACCTGAGAAAAGTGCAATTTTATCCATTATTAATAATACTGAATTAGAGCTACAAAAAATTCCAGTATGTGGTAATTGTCTTGGTAAATTATTATTCTAACACTAACAGAGTCCTTGGATGATTTTACTGCTTTCAGCTAATATAAACCATTAACAATTACGGCCTTCACTGGGTAACACTGTCTAAACCATGTTATGCTCTAAACTAATATTAAAAATCCACGAGATATTTTAGAAACTACTGAAATCTGTTCATTGTATATCAATGGAATGTTTCACAATATAATTTTTGTTTTCAATTCAATTTCAATAACCATTGGTGATAAAAGCCACTGTCTGAGAAGTCTGTTTTTCTCTCTCTCTAGTATTTGGAGTAATATACTCAAGAGATAATATTCTAATGTTCTTGAACAGCACTATTCATAAAAACACATAAAATGCTTTCATAGAAGATTTGATTTCATTTTTATTTTGCTATTTTATTGTAAAAGAATACTACATTTTATTAAAGCAGGAACTGTATATGTTTTGCTCATCATTATATCTCTAGTACAATATCTAGGACATACTATGTTTTTGAATAGTCAATGAATTTATTATGCCAATTCTTCACCTTGAAAACCTATAGACATGTAGTCATTGAGAACAGTAATACACTTTTGAAAAACATTTTGGATTTTGTGGCTATCCAATTTTGTTTTCCACAACTTAATTGTTAAAGAATATAACAAGGTAAGGGATACATAAAGAGAATATTAAAATTATAAGCATTTGAAGTATATTTGAATTCACTTGTTTTTCTACACATCATAATTATTAAAACTTTATTTTTCATTCAAAATAAGATTGCCAAAGAATAATGGTTACAGGTACCTCTGTGAATTTAAAATAGGACAGTATCTATCCTTACAAATACAGACTAATCGTAGTGGTTTAAGGAAGACCCTGCTAAAAACTTGCTATACAGATTTTCCTTAAGAGTGTGTCAAAATTGGGGTGTGGTTGGCTTAGTCAGTTAAGGGTCCCACTCCTGATTTTGGCTTGGGTCATGATCTCATGGTTCCTGAGATGCAGCCCCACATCGTATTGGACTCTGTGCTGACAGCATGGAGCCTTCTTGGGATTCTCTCCCTCTCTCTCTGTCTCTTACCCCCACAAGCTCTTTCTGTGTCTCCCAAAATAAATAAATAAAAATTAAAAAATAGAGCATGTTAAAATCAAATTTTGAATTCCCCAGGAGAGACAGATCTAATATTATCTCAAATTACCAACTATAGACATATCTTTCTCTATTCCTCCTATTAGGTATGACTGAAAAAATTTGGACACTATATGTAAAACAAATATAACAAGACTGTGAAAGTTGGAAAGCAGAAGGCAGACTGACTAATGACCCCAGGGCCAAAGAATAAATTTAGTAGAGTTGCCAGGGTTGTCTTTTTGCCTCACATATCCTAGACCTCAAGGCAAAGAGGCTAGCAACCTAGATTAGACCCATGGGTACAGACCAAAAAAAAAAAAAAGTCCCCAACAAAAGCCTGGTTTCTCCAGCCAAAGAACCAAGAAAGGTGCAACCCAGCAAAAGAGAAAACTTTTAGACAACTATTGCACTCTAGCTCAACACCACAGAAAAACAGTAGCCCCACTCTACCCACACCAGAAAGTAAGTGGGAAGTCTACTAATCAAGATGTAATCTCAATCAAGAGATTGAGTCTCTAACATCCTCAGTCAGGGGTGTATCAGAGAAGGACAACAGGGAACCAGGACTTGCATCTCTGAACACCACCCTCAAGAAGTCAGCGGAAACCATGTGGAGGGCCTGGATTTCCCCCCCTGCCAAACAGTAATGAGATGTTCTTCTCCCTCTCACTCAGGGGGTATCAGAGAATGCCTAGTAGAGAGTCAGGACTTTCACCTCTGATCAACACCAATAAGGCTACCCACACTAGCCTCACTAGCTAGAACTCCCGCCCCTGCCAAGTAGTAATGAAGCACTGCCTCCTCCCTCACTCTAGATGTCAGTAGAATCCAGGTGGGGAATCTGGAGTTCTACCTCCACCTGGCAGGAAAGATGCAGTGCTTCCCTATTTCTCCTAATGGAGGAATGTCAGAGAGGGTCAACTAAAACAAAAGGTTTAAATAGGATACAATATATCTCAAAGAATAATAAGAAAATATCGTCTTTCAATCTAAAGTTACATGTCACATCAAGAACTTGGAAGATTTCAAACAGAATGTAAAATGTCACCAATAGATGCTAATACTGAGATGACAGGGATGTTAGAATTTTTTGACAAGGATTTTAAACCATGTGTGATTTTTTAAAAATGCTTCACCGAGCAATTATGAACATGCTTGAAACAAATAAAAAAAAATCGAAAGCCTCAGGAAAGAAACAAAAAGTCTCACTCAGCAAAAAATTAGAAGATATAAAAAGTACCAAAGAAATTTTAGAACTGACAAATAAATGACCAAAATAAAAAGCTCAGTGAATGGGCTTAACAGCAGAACGGAAAGGACAGAAGAAAGATTTAGTTAAATGGCAGATAGAATAATAGATATTACCCAATCTGAATAACAGAGAAAATGGACTGAAAAAAAAAAAAAAGGAACAAAGCCTCAGGGATCTATGAATTATAACATCCAAAATATTTGGGTCATGGGAATTCTGGAAAGGAGAGAGGAAAGGGAGCAGGGCTGAAATAGTCCCTGAAAAAATAATGGCTGAATATTTCTCAAATTTGGCAAAAAAAAGCATAATGTACAGATTTAAGAAGCTGACTGAACTCCATACATCTGAAGAAATTTATGCCAAGGCAAATGATGATTAAACTTCTGAAACAAAGGACAAAGCAAAATCTACAAAGCAGCCAGAGAAAAATGACATCTCACCTACAGGTATAAAACAATTAGAATGACAGCATATTTTATATCAAAAGCTACGGTGGCCAGAAGAAATGGCCAAATATATTTTATGTACTGGAAAAAAAAAGAACTGTCAACTCAGATTCCTGTAACCAGTGAAAATACTACCCAGGAATGAAAAATTAAGATTTTTCAGATGAAGGAAAACAAAGTATTTGTTGCCATCAAAGCCAGTCTAAAAAGTGGCTATAACCAGTCTTACGAACACAGGGGAAGCAATAAAAGGAACATTGGAACATCAGGAAGGAAGAAGGAACATAATAAGCAAAACATGAGTAAATATGTGTTTTAAATTATGATTTATCATAGAAGTAAAAATTTTAACACTGTCCAATGTGGTTCTAAGTGTGTGTAGAGTTAATATTTAAGACAAAGAGATTATAAGTGGGGGAGGGTAAAGGGATGTAAAGGAAATAAAGATTCTGTACTTCATTTGGACTGATAAAACACAGCAGACTCTGATAAAATACATATACATAATGTCATACTTAAAACAACCACTAAAAAATCTATACAAAGAGATATACTCAAAAACATGATGGATAAATCAATATGGAATTCCAAGAAACATTCAAGTAACCCACAAGAAGACATGAAAACCAAAACATAGCAATGGAAAACAAGGAGAATAAACAAACAATAAATAATAGTGCTTTAAAAAGAATGCTGTCTGCAAGAAATCAACTTCAAATATAATAATACAGGCAAGTGGAAAATAAAGAATAAAAAAGATCTATCATTCAAACACTAATCAAAGGAAAGCAGGAGTGGCTATATTAGTAGAACATATACTCCAGAAAAAATAAAATTACTAGAGATAAAGAAGGACCTTATCTAATGACACAAAGGCCAATGTACCAATTAGATACCAATCCCAAATGTGTATGCACCAAACAATAGAGGAGGAAAATATGTCAAGCAAAAACCGATAAACTGAAAGGAGATGACAAATACAGAGCTATATTGTGTGTATATACACCCTTCTTTTCAGCAATTGATAGAACACCTAGTTAGAAGATCAGCAAAGATACAGAAGAACACAATACCACCATCAGCCAACATTTTAGAACATGCAACAACAACAGAGGAATACACATTGTTCAAGACAGACCATATGCTGGGCCACAGCACACATCCAACAAATTTAGAAAACTGAAATCCTATAGTGTACTCTCCTACAAAAAAGGAATAAAGACAGAAATCAATAACAGAAAGGCAACAGAAAAAAAAAATCCTCAGACACTTGGAAACTATAACAACACACTTCTAAATAACCTATGGGTCAAAAAAAAAATTCTCAAGGGAAAACAAAAAATACAATGAATTGAATAAAAATTACAATAAAACTATCAAACTTTGTGGGACCCCACTAAAACAGTAATGATAGGAAAATTTATAGTGCAAATACATACATTAGAAAAGATGAAATATCTCAAATCAATACCCTAAATTCCAACATTAAGAATAGAAAAATAAGAGCAAAGCAAGCAGAAGGAAATAGTAAAGATAAAAGTGAGAATCAATGAAATTCAAAACAGAAAAACAA